AACAATGTCCTCATTAACATGGAAAGGGGACACGACCTTAGGGAGGAATGTCACATCTGTGCGGAGAACTACTCTGTCCTCGTGGACGATAAAATAGGGTTCGTCCACCCGCAGGGCCGCCAACTCCGACGGCCGGCGGGCTGAAGTAATGGCAACCAGAAAGGCTACCTTCCAAGTCAACAATCGCAGGTCCGCAGAAATTAGGGGCTCGAAAGGCGGCAGCCCGAGCCTAGTCAGTACAAGGTCAAGGTCCCACCCCGGAGTCGGAGATCGAACCGGGGGATACAAATTGTTGAAACCCTTCAAAAAGGATTTAACTGAGCTGTCCTTGAACAGGGAGGCTTCCCCTGTCCTCTGGAGCTGCCACGATATGGCAGCCAAGTGTGACTTAAGCGAAGACAAGGACAGACCTCGTTCTGTGAGGTGAAGCAGGAAAGACAGGATCGTCGGTATCGACGGTCGGTCGTCGGTCAGGCCTCTTTCCAGGAGGAAGGCCTGGAAACGGTTAAGGCAGGCAGAGTAGCACTTCTTGGTGGCCGGCTTGTGCGCCGCCTCCAAGATCGGGAGGACCCCTGGACACAGCGACCTCAGCACCGGATCCTCCACGCCGAAAGATGCAGAGAAGCTAGGTCGGGGTGAAGAAGCTGGCCGTCTTCCCTGGAGAGCAGGTCCTGCCGAAGCGGAAGGCGCCTCATCAGCCCCTGCGACAGCTGGAGCAAGACCGGGAACCACGGCTGTCGAGGCCATTCCGGTGCCACGAGGATGCAGTCCGTCTGCGCCGACTGGATTCGCTCGATCACCTTCGGGAGGAGCGGGAACGGTGGGAAGAGGTAGAGCAGGTGCCTCGACCAGTCCAACAGGAACGCGTCTCCGAGGCATCCCGGCACCGTGTTCGGAGCAAGTCGGGCACCGAACTGAGGCAGCTGGGCGTTTTGTGGCGACGCGAAGAGATCTGCGACGGGAAGACCCCAATCCTCGAAGATCTCCGACAAGACCTCGGGGTTCAACCTCCACTCGTGGGATGTCGCCCTGGTTCTGCTGAGCGCGTCGGCCTCTACGTTGATCTCTCCCGGGAGGTGTATCGCCGATATCGATACCGAGCGGGCCACGCACCAATTCCACAGCTCCATCGAGAGCGCGAGGAGTTTCCTTGATCCCGTGCCGCCCTGCTTGTTCACGTAGAACATAGCTACTGTGTTGTCCGTTAGAATCTGGACAGACTTTCCGGCAATCAGGAGGGCAAAGGACTTCAGGGCCTTGAATATCGCCAACAGTTCTAGGTAGTTTATGTGGCACTGTCTTTCTTGCGGAGACCACAGGTCGTGAACCGAGAGATCTCCTGTATGGCATCCCCATGCGAACATCGACGCATCCGTCGTGATTGTGACGGTCGGGGGGTCTGGATGAAAAGGAAGGCCCTTGCAGACGTGTTCGCGCCTCGTCCACCAGGCCAAAGAGTCCTTTACCGACTTCGGTACCAAGAGACGCTTCGCGGCACTGTCCCGCATAGGGTTGAAGTGGTCCAAGAACCACCTCTGCAAGGGACGGAAGCGCAGCCGTGCTATCGGTGTCACCATCACTGTGGAGGCCATGTGCCCGAGGAGGACCTGCACTTGCTTCGCCGACACGTTTCGGGAGCGACGTACTTTCAGT